GTCCAGAGCGACATGTCCCTATATTGTTTGCTTGTTTGCATTTGGACTGAATGGCGTTCGGTGCAGAATTTTAGGGGGAGAAAGATACTATAAGTGCCAAAAGTTGTGTACCGCGCTCACTTTAGTATCAAAAGTTTGTTTTGGATCACTTAAGTGCCACTTTTAAAAAAAAACGATCACTTAAGTGCCAAATCCGATTTGGATTGCCGGAAATCTGACGTGGAAATATTTTAGGAACGTGTCGCTCGCTGATATAAGTACATGGAAAGGTTGGACTTTCGTGCATGATTCGAACCTTATGTTTTTGTTTGACTATACAACAGCCAGTTTATAGCAAGGTTAAATTTAATATCCAAGTGGGTATTTTACAAGTGCTAAATAGTAATGACTTGGACCATTTCGAGGGTATGTATGCTTACATCCTCTCAGGTGCAATTCGTGTCTCTCTCTCTCATTCCTTCACATTCTTCAGCAATGTCTCCCGCATTGAATCCACAAAACGTGCTGAGCTTTAGAGCTTCCCTGTTTAGACGGATCAGTATTATCATCAATCTCAGCATGTTCTTATTCGACTTCGTACTGTCTCTTGGGGCGAACCCAAAATTTGATGATTGTCAGCCACACAACTGCGGTATCGGTCCAAACATAAGCTATCCTTTTTGGATCCCGAAAGTTCAACAACCTTATTGTGGAATTCCTGGCTTCGAGATAGAGTGCGACAATAGTAGGCCGATTTATCAGACATTTGGATCTTCTTATGCGATTAAAGAGATTTCGTACGACGAGAACTCGTTCAGAGTGGTGAGTGAAGCGGTACTCAATGCGGGATGCCCCTTGCCAAGTCTCAATTACTCTTTCCAACGGTTACCTGTTACATTCGGTTCGGACCACGCCGATCTCTGCATTTTCCACAACTGCGATGGGTCATTTTCTGTTAATTCTACAGTATCTCGGGCCGAGTGTGGTCCTGGTGAAGGGAACAAATCTTTTGCTGCGATAGCTAGTACGTGCGATTACTTGAACTGGAATAGAGCGTCGTGCCAGTACTTGGTGGTCTCCCCGGTTCAGGTACAAAACTGGAAGGTGAATCAAAGTGTTGAGTACCTGAAGTTATTGGAGGACGGTTTCACGCTGAACTGGACGGGGTACAACTGCACGAGGTGCCGAAGAAGCGGGGGCCGGTGTGGCAGTCAAAATACCACGAGTGTGTGCTATTGCCCCGACCGGACAGATCTCGTACACTGCGGCGATGGTAAGGCTCCTCAAACTATTCTAATTTAGGCTTTCGCCATTCTGCTCTTCATCATCCGGTTCTGATCCTCTGGACAAACAGGACCGAGCTATGAGAAAATTAGATCGCTGAGGGTTTCATATCAATTCGCTGTCTTTGGGAAATATAAGATCACAAATGATCTCACTGTCCGCTTTATCTCTGTAGAATTGGTACTTCTGATGCTTTAGTCCAAAAACTTCAGCTCGATTTCTTCGGCTTTCTTAGGCGTCCCTTTCTTCTGCTTGAAAAACACCATCTGCTTACTTTCACTCATCATCTCTAGTTTAAGTTCAATACGTTGAGAAATCCACCATTGTGACTCGAGTATAATGCCCAGCACTATACTAAGTAAACCTGGTCTAAGACCAATCGACTTCACATTCCCTGACTTGTGCACTAGCAGAACTCCAGCGTACTCCGCTCCATGACCGCTTGCTCAAGTACAATGGTCCCTAGCTACTGTCTTCGCTTACCACAATCCAAATCGCTAGGTTCACGATTCCCGATCGTCTGCTTTGATACGGTCCCCGGCCCTTAGCCTCAGGTACCAATTATAAAATTTTGGAGCTTTAATATCAATTATTGAATTTGAGAGACGCAACTCTGAAACCACTTGTAGATCTTCACTACCTAAAGTACTTATTACCAATGCACACTTGTGCTACACTCTGCTCACTCACAAGTTTCTCACTTCACTCACACACTCCTCACCAAATGTTCGCTTAACTCTTGCTTTCCTCTCTACACACCCACGCACTCCCTACTTACACAACTCACAGCACCACACTCTCACGCCTCTCACTGCACAACGCCACCCTACCCAGCACTTTTTCTATCCTGTCCACTCTACTTCAGTTGACATGGGGACTTTCCCTATTTATAGAGAGATTCCCACCGACATAGTACAAAAAGAGTGCTCTACAAGAGCTCAACGTGGCTTTTCTACAATTACAAGCTTCACTGACTCTTCAAATGATTTTCAATCACACATCTCACCTAACACTAAGCGGACATCAACACCACAAATAACAACTACCTATTTAGTCTTAGATAAATCTAGAAAAGTTGGAGACTTAATGAAGAATCTAGAGAAGTTGAGAGAGAGAGAGAGAGAGAGAGACAGAGAGACAGAGAGAGGGCGGTGCCTCTTCAACAGAGAACAGGGAATTTTGACTACGAGAACTTGACAAAGTGATCACAAAAAGACGGACATTACCAACTTGGGATAGTTGTGTCGGATGCCAAAGAAGTGGAGGCGAATGTGGCGAACTGGATGGATGTTTCTATGTTTGTGCTCTGATAAAAATTATCCCGGGCATTGCAAAAGAGGTGAAGTTACTCATTCCGCACTCGCAAGTTTATAAAATTCTGCCGTGTTCTTTAGGGGGGGTTTCTTTTGTCATGCTCTCCCGACTTGAAAGTAGAATGAGCAAGAGCTCTCTAGCTTCCGTCTGCTTTCAGTTCGGAGTTCGTTCGCTATTTTCACAATCAATTAATTCATGGCCTTCGTCTCAAAAAGAAAGCGATAAGTTTACGGTGAAGAGAGGCTGCATCATCATACTGATTATGCCGCCTCTCCCTCCACTCATTAACCTCATATTATAACTCCTCTTTGCACCCTCATCAGCTAAGATTTCGCTCTTTGTGGTGGAGCGGCACTTCCAAACCTGCAGCCTCCACAGAACCTGTGGTGGCCACAAATCACCTTCTCATTCTTCATCCTAGATCAGCAACCCTGCGGCTTCCGTGGCTCCGCTTTAGCTTGCATCGTCAACAGTCCGATCCTCAAACTTTTCGACTACGTCCTCCTCAATATCTTTCAGTAGAACCAGTCTCTCCACATCTCCAGCGCTGCCGTCTCGAATAATTCAACCTTCTCTTACATGCCTGTTCTCAAGAACTTAACCCTTCCATCAACTCAGTTCCAAACGGTTCGAACATCAGCGCCACTTTCTCCCTACTACAACTGCAACATCTCTCTTCGTGCGGATTACCTTCTTAGATCAAGGATTAGATGTGCTGGAAACTTAGGCCAGGACAGAGTTGTTCTGGCAATACAGGGAAATCGTTAAGATGGGGATGTGGTGGAGGCGTCTACCAAGTGAGATTCGATGGTGGAGGCGCTGGTGGTGGCCCAGTGGAGAGGGCAAAGGAGAGAGATAGAGGGCACGTTGAGGAGTGGGTTCGTGCTGAATTGGAAGGCGAGCAATTGAAGCGCGTGCGAGGAGACTGGAAGCAAGAGCTGATTCGATCACGAGACCTATCACTTCCAGGTGTTACTGTCCCGACTGGCCTCATGCTTGGGTTTGTGTTCCTGGTAGTGTTATTTCTTCTTCACTCTCTATCTGCGCAGACTCTTCTCTTCATGAAATGGTGATTAGATTCATCGGATTGTGGGGGTCGAGTCAAGTGCACTTCCCTTTCTGCCTAGAATTCGCTACGAATTACCTCTGAATCATAAATTTTCGGGGGCTCCACAGGCTTACCGCATAGCAGAATTTTCTTGAGGGTCGGAACAACACAGTCTCTGTCCATTGTCGAAATTTTCTATAGTTGCATCAGGGTACTTTTCCTTGGTTGATCAGTGAAAATTCTTTAAAGGACCCATAAGTCTGTTGAACCTTAACTCGTGTGCGAACCGACCTACCTTGAGCCATACGGCACCAAGATTGGATTTTATCATTTCATGTAAGTCTCCACCAACGACACATATATCCAGGGGATAATCCCTTCTGCACTTGGAAATTTGATGTTGTTGAAGTATCTGTTGTTAAATGACAACAGTTTGACACAAAATATCTCTTGAGCTGGGCAATCTGACTCTACTGGAGGTTTTGAGCTCTCGAATAACAATCTTAGCGGGAGTATGATGAAATGGCAGAGATAGTGAAGGTGAATTTGAAAAGTAAACGACTTCTTAACACTCCGACTGCTCATGATTGGTCAGTCTCTCACTTGTACAAGGCAAACTGTTCAACAGCATTGACAGTCAGAAGTATGTTGCTTCCCATGCATTTTTCGTTGAAAGTGGCCGAGCAGAACATTAATGCCCCTTGAAAGGTCTGAGCAGGACTCTAGCGAATGGTCATCAAGTCAGGAGAAACATGAACTTGAAAATGCCATGACCATTTTCTCTACTTTGTCCGGAACTTCAACTTTTATTATGAACAAAATGTTTTTAATGATTTGAATATCACATCACCTACCATTCCTAGTTTTTGTATGTCTTGATACAAAACCTCCTTTTCTTTTATCTTCTTTCTTTTTTAACTGTCCACCATCATTTTAATCCATAAACTGCTTGTATTTTGTCAATTTGTTCTTCAAAGTCAACACTGTTAATTTACTCCCTGAATTTATCTATAGTTTTCCCTCTAATTTATTCCTTTGGCGTCCTCTCTGACTGTTGTGAAAAGCATTCCTACTGGTTTCATCATAGTTTTGATTGGGAGATTTACCTGACAAGGATTTGTGCCCTTTGTAACAGCGCAGCATAGAATGTTGGTGATGAAAGTCGCAATAGGTACTCCATTAAACCTACTTTTTGTTTCATATACTAATTCACTTGGTGGAAACCTTGACAAACTTTTGCTTTTCCAACATTAGGACCTTATGTCCGTAAAATGATGAACTGAAGTTGTTGCTTGCAAATCTTTTGCTGTTCTGTAATCAGCTGCATCAGGAGTTGGAATTGCAATCGTAATTCTTATAGTCTATTCCATTAGGAAGAAATCGATGATAAGAAAACATATTGCTTTGATGATGGGAAAGAAAGAACATTCTGCAACCACACAGCAAATCGAGGGACTAATCTCTTCGAGGAGATATACCTACAAAGATATCAAGAGGATGACCAATTCTTTCCAGGAAAAGTTGGGTCAAGGAGGTTATGGTTATGTGTACAAAGGCAAGCTTCGAGACGGTCAACTTGTGGCCGTGAAGCTTCTAAAGAAACTGAAAGGCGATGGAGAAGAGTTTATTAATGAAGTTGCGAGCATAAGCAGGACTTCTCATGTCAATGTTGTCAGCCTTCTGGGCTTTTGCTTTGAGGGAAGCAAAAGAGCTTTAGTTTATGAGTTCATGCCCAATGGATCACTGGAAAAGTTCATATTCAAAAGCAACACTTCAGAGGCAAATCAGCAATTGAGTTGGGAGACATTATACAGCATCTCCATGGGAATAGCACGAGGGCTAGAGTACCTGCATCAAGGCTGTAACGCCAGGATCTTGCATTTCGATATAAAGCCTCACAACATTCTTCTCGATTGTAATTATTGTCCGAAGATTTCCGACTTTGGTCTTGCTAAGATATGTCCTAGAGAAGAGAGTATCGTGTCGATGTTGGGTGCACGCGGCACTGCAGGCTACATTGCTCCTGAATTGGTCATAAGGAACATCGGAGGGGTTTCACACAAATCGGATGTCTACAGTTATGGCATGATGGTTCTGGAAATGGTCGGCGGCAGAAAAAACATTGAAGTTGGGGTGGACCGTAGTAGCGAAATATATTTTCCTTATTTGATTCACCGGCGCCTTGAACTTCAGGAAGAACTCGGGTTGCGTGGGATCACGAACGAGGAAGACGAAGGAATCGCGAAGAAGATGATCATAATCAGCTTGTGGTGCATTCAGATTGACCCGAGAGCTCGACCATCGATAACTCAAGTCATGGAGATGCTGAGAGGAAGTGTCGAGGCCTTGCAAATTCACCCCAAACCAACCTTGTCATCCCCCTCATCGAGATCCCCCATAGCTACTACAGACGAGAGTTCGCTGCTGCAATTTGACATCGCTACAGCGTCTGTATAAACTTATATGAGATTACTTATTTTGAGATTCTTCTTCCTTTGTTTACTTCGGTGGTAATTTCATAGAGAATCTTGGGTACTTCCATTCACGAATGCTCAATTCAAATTGTTGTTCTGATCCACATGCTGATCAAAAGAGAATGGTAAGAATTCATAACGTATGGGACCATGCAACCAGATATACTAGGACTATTCCGCCTTTACTCTTTGAGTTTGAGCCACTGGCATGCTCAAGCCCTTTCGCTTCTTAAAGCCAGAAGAAGAACGGTCAAACCACGTTAATATGGGATTAGATTATCTCTCCGAATGGATATTGGAATCTTTCTGAATCCCAAATTGTCGTTCTGCTCTGTGATCAGTGTCCGATGAAATATGGGATTAGATTAAATGAGATCTTTCATTATCCTTATTATTATTCTTCCAAGCATGAGTCATAGATACAATATATATGCACGACCCATTACACCTTAGGAAGCACTTTTTGACTGGTTCCATCACAACTTCATTTGGGGTATTTATTTGACAAGGATTTGTGTCCTAGCAGCAAAACTTGGCAATTTGGGGGCAAAAGCTATAGTACGTAATCTGTCAAATTGTGTTCGTGGTTGAATACATCTATAATGATCCGCAGCTTGGAAGCCTTGATAAAGTGACCAAGTGAGATTGTTGTTCGAAAATATTGTTTGGTTTAAGAGGAACAGTTGCATCAAGAACTAGGATTGGGATCGCCCTTATTGTTATGCATTCCTTCGGGAAGAAGCTGATGATCCGAAAGATTATGGCTTTGGTAAAGCAGAGGGGCAAACGTTTCGATGGTGAGATGAAAATCGAGGGACTCATCTCTTTGAGAAGATACACCTACAAAGACATCAAGAGGATGACTGGCTCTTTGGAAGAAAAGCTAGGGCAGGGAGGCTATGGCTGCATATACAAAGGCAAGCTCCGAGACGGTCAACTGGTGGTGGTGAAGTTTCTTAAGTTGCTGAAGGGCGGCGTGGAAGAAGTTTTCGATGAAGTTGCGAGCATAAGCAGGACTTCTCAGGTCAATGTTGTCAGCCTCCCGAGGTTCTGTTTTGAAGGAAGCAGAAGAGCTTTGGTTTATGAGCTCCTGCCCAATGGATCTCTCAAAAAGTTCATATTCAACGGGAGTAACACTTCCGAGGTAGAACAGCAGTTGAGTTGGCACACATTGTGCAAAATTTCGCTCAGACATACCTCATGGGGCTAGAGTACTTGCATCGAGGCTGCAACACGAGGATCTTATACTTCGATGAGTAGTGTCACACCGTTGAGGAAAATGGAAACTATTATTACAGGTTTATCAGTTTGGGATTTTTCGCGATATTAAGCCTATATATAAACATCAATATTGAAGTCCGTTCCTTAACCCGTCTTGCTTTCTTGCTGTTTCTTTATTTCGCTTTTGAATTCGAACCTACACCCGTTGCTTAGCCGAACTGATTCGGTACAGTCGACAGAACGATTTACACGAATTTAAAGTCTTGGATTGCTTCTCATTATGTTATTGTTCCAACCTGGCTCCATCTAGGAAGGCCAGCCCTGGTCAAATTTAGAGAGGCCATATATGCCTCGACCTCTCAGGTGAATTCATCTCTCTCGCTCGCTCTCTCCTTCGCGTCCTTCGATTGTCCTGCAATAATCTTTAGGAACAGCTACAAGAACGCGTACCGACGTCACGAGAGAACAGCAGAATTCGTCTTCCGGCATCACAGAACCAGAAGAAGAGGAGGAAGACTTTAAAATTTTCAAGTCAATCGCCAGCCTTCTGTACGGTAAAGAAAACGAGGAAGCGTCGGTCGACCCCATCGAATGAATCGTGTGGACCACGACTATGGTGCAAGCTTAAGCTTTCGCATTTAAAAGGTCCAAAAATTTATTTACGAGTACTTGGATTCGACACAACACATTAGATCAGCCAATGATATATTAAGTGCCGTGTACGTAGCCGGAAACCTCTTCGACATATCTCCACCGCCCGTTCAATCCACAATGACCACGACGATGACCAGAACCAGAACCGCCCCCACACGTCCTCTTTCTCCTCTCCCAATCAACACATTCCTGTTACTCTTTGCTCTCTCTTTATCACCCTGACGGTCTCTCTCTCTCGTCGACCCCCACTTCGAGAACTGCAGCCTTCCCGTCGCCTGCGGCGGCCTGAACATCACCTTCCCGTTCTACGTCCACGGCCAGCAGCCCTCCTACTGCGGCCACCCGGGATTCGAGCTGTCCTGCGCTGACGACCGCCCGGTCATCACCCTCTCCGGCGACGACTACGTCGTCCGTGACATCTTCTACAAGAACCAGTCTCTCTGGGTCTCCAACGCCGCCGTCTTTGACGACAACGCAACCGCCTTCTCTTACTGCACGCCCGGTTCTCTCAAGAACCTGAGTCTCTCGTCGACTGGGCACTTCCAGCTGTGCCCGAAAGTTACCGCCAATCTCTCTCTGTTGTACGACTGCAACATCTCTCTCCACACCGACGAGCTTCTGAACCACAGGATCAGCTGTCCTGGCAAAGAAGAAGGCGAAAGTGGGGTCGTTCTGGGGATATATAGGGATGGCGAGGATCCGGAAGTGATCGATGCTGCAAAGAAGTGCCGGACTTTGGTGGTGGCGCCGGTGGCGGCCGAGTGGAGACGCGGGGCGGAGATAGAGGAGGCGTTGAGGAGCGGGTTCGTGTTAGATTGGAAGGTGAACAATTGCATCGTGTGCGAGGCAAGTGGTGGCAAGTGCGGGTTCGATTACGACATCTACAGTTTCCGGTGTTACTGCCGTGAGCGGCCATGCTTGGCGTTGTCCACAAACGGGTTTGTTTTATTTTTTCTTCCCTCCGTGTCTTCGCATCATTGTTGAAAAAATCCTAAGTTCATTGCACCTTTGCTAATTCAGCCATTGTATCCTACGTAACAGCGCAGCATGGCATTTTGGTGATGAAAGTCGCAATAGGTACTGCATTAAACTTTTTTTGTTTCATATACTCTAATTCACCGCGCAGAAACCTTGACAAAGTTTTGCTTTTCCAACATTAGGACCTTATATTAGTAAAAACGATGAACTGAAGTTGCTTCCGAATCTTTTGCTTTTCTCTAATCAGCTGCATCAGGAGTTGGAATTGCGATTGTCACTCTTGTAGTCTATTCCATTAGGAAGAAATCGATGATAAGAAAACATATAACTTTGATGATGCGAAAGAAAGAACATTCTGCGGCTGCAAGAAAAGTAGAGGGACTGGTCTCTTTGAGGAGATACACCTACAAAGATATCAAGAGGATGACCAATTCTTTCCTGGAGAAGTTGGGTCAAGGAGGTTATGGTTATGTGTACAAAGGCAAGCTTCGAGACGGTCAACTTGTGGCCGTGAAGCTTTTAAAGAAACTGAAGGCGATGGGGAAGAATTTATCAATGAAGTTGCGAGTATAAGCAGGACTTCTCATGTCAATATTGTCAGCCTTTTGGGATTTTGCTTTGAGGGAAGCAAAAGAGCTCTAGTTTATGAGTTCCTGCCCAACCAATCACTAGAAAAGTTCATATTCAAAAGAAACACTTCAGAGGCCAATCAGCAATTGAGTTGGGAGATATTATACAACATCTCCCTAGGCATAGCACAAGGGCTAGAGTACCTGCATCGAGGCTGTAACGCCAGGATCTTGCATTTCGATATAAAGCCTCACAACATTCTTCTTGATCGGAATTATTGTCCGAAGATTTCCGACTTTGGTCTTGCCAAAATATGTCCTAGAGAAGAGAGTACCCTGTCAATGTTGGGTGGCCGAGCGCCCTAGGATCACCATAGCGAGATATTAACGGTACGGTAAAAAGATGGATTGAATTTGTGCACCTGTTTTGGATTCCATCGGCCTGGAAGCGGAAATGACGATGAACCGGTGCCGTAGGTCTTCTCCCCTGTCACCCCCGAAGTCCCGGCGCTATGAGACCGCCTCAGCCAACTCACGGAAGCCGTAGGTGAGTTTGAGAGCGATTGGAGAGAGTTAGGTGCAGAGGAGGGACCTGCAGCTCTATTTATAGAGTTTCCAGCCAGGCCCTCTCATAACAGGCCGGGCCGAACTCGGCCCACACAAGCCGGGCCCATATCTGACCAATTAAGAAACCTTATATCCAAACTTATTAGACCAGACCCGTAAGCGGGTAATAACAATCTCAATTAATGTAACCCACATTAGGAAAACGTTACAGGGTGCACGCGGTACTGCAGGCTACATTGCTCCGGAATTGGTCCTAAGGAACATCGGAGGGGTTTCTCACAAATCGGATGTCTACAGTTACGGCATGATGGTTCTGGAAATGGTGGGCGGGAGAAAAAACGTTGAAGTTGGAGTGGACCGTAGTAGCGAAATATATTTTCCTCACTGGATTCACCGACGCCTTGAACTTCAGGAAGAACTTGGTTTGCATGGTATCACGAACGTGGAAGACGAAGGAATTGTGAAGAAGATGATCGTAATCAGCTTGTGGTGCATTCAGATTGATCCGAGAGCTCGACCATCGATGACTCAAGTCGTGGAGATGCTGAGAGGAAGTGTCGAGGCCTTGCAAATTCCCCCCAAACCAACCTTGTCATCCCCATCATCGAGATCCCCTGTAGCTACCACAGACGAGAGTTCGCTGCTGCAATTTGATATCACTGCAGCTTCTGTATAAACTTACATGAAATACTTATTTTGAGATTTTTCTTCCCGTGTTTACTTCGGTGGTAATTTCCATAGAGAATCTTGGGTGCTTCCATTCACGAATGCTCAATTCAGATTGTTATTCTGATCCACATGCTGATCAAAAGAGAATGGTAAGGACTCATAACGTTTGGGACCATGCAGCCAGATATACTAGGACTATTCCGCCTCTACTCTTTTGAGTTTGAGCCACTGGCATACTAAAGCCCTTTCGCTTCTTAAAGCCCGAAGAAGAACAGTCAAACCACGTTTAACTCTCCGAATGGATATCGGAATCTTTCTGAATCCCAAACTACTGTCGTTCTGTTCTGTGATCAGTGTCCGATGATATTGGTGGTCGATAAAGTAGATATTAACCCTAATCCATCTTCCAAACGATAATTTAATAATTACTAAAAACATTATATTATACATCAATAACACATAAAGGAAAACCAAATAAAATTCTTAAACGGTGAGTTTATATCGATTTACAGCCAAATTAATAAGTTTTGCAAATTGATGTAGATATTTTGTTCTGGAAATATGGGATTAGATTAAATGAGATGTTTAATTATTCTTCTAATTATTCTTCCAAGCGTGAGTCATAGATACAATATACATGCACGGCCCATTGCACCGTAGGAAGCACTCTTTAACTGGTTCCATCACAACTTCATTTGGGATATTTATTTGGTAAGGATTTGTGTCCTAGCGGCAAAACTTGGCAATTTGGGGGCAAAAGCTATAATACGTAATCTGTCAAATTGTGTTCGTGGTTGAATACTATCTATAATGATCCGCAGCTTAGCAGCCTTGATAAAGTGACCAAGTGAGATTGTTGTTTGAAAATATTGTTCGGTTTTAGAGGAACAGTTGCATCAGGAACTGGGATTGGGATCGCCCTTATTGTTATGCATTACTTCGGGAAGAAGCTGATGATCAGAAAGATTATGGCTTTGGTAAAGCAGAGGAGCAAACTTCTTGATGGCGAGATGAAAATCGACGGACTCATCTCTTCGAGAAGATACACCTACAAAGACATCAAGAGGATGATCGACTCTTTGGAGGAAAAGCCAGGTCACGGAGGTTATGGCTGCATGTACAAAGGAAAACTCCGAGACGGTCAATTGGTGGCGGCGAATGATGCGGGAGCATCTGACTTAATTCCATTGACGAATTCAGCACAATCGATGTTCATTCAAGCCGAGGCATAATTTGGTTAGAACTTGCTTCGATGGATCGAGAATGAAGTTGTTGATAAGGAGACTATCGACCAGGTTACCACCGATTGAGGAGTTATGGATTCTTCCTCATTGTTCAAGTATTAAGTTATCAATTCACCATATTAGTTGGCGAAATCAAAACTAATCAACAGCATATCGATGGGAGGCTATTCTAAGCAATTTCATTGGATATTTGTTGATCTCCCTAGATGGTTATTTTCTGGTCAAAGCTGGTAGATGAATTTTGGAAGATGAACCACAAGGTTGAAGAGTCAAGATTTCATGTCTCTATGTCATTAATACATTTCTTAGTTCCTAGATCTTGATGAGTCTTTATTGTAATGTGGGTTCTACAAGTCAAAGTTCTAAGATCCTAGGACTTTAATTACTTTCTAATTCCTATGTCTATAATATTTGGGGAGTCCCCAAGTCTCTTTAAAGTGTGTCTATTTCTTATGTCAAAGTATCTCTATAGATAGAGGAGAATTCTCCGTTGTAACGCAAAATTTGATGAATATATGAGAATTCCTCTAAGCGAGTTGAATTATTTATCTGATTCTTTATTCAACATTGTTGATAGTGAATCAAACAGTTCTTTATCCTTAGCCAGTAGAGTAATCATTTACGCCTTGGTGGTGAGTTGCTATCTATCTCGGTTCTTTATCCTTTGTTGGTGGTCCGTGTCTTTAAGCATTGGTGGTGAACCTTCCATATCCTTCGTCCTTTATCCATCGTCTCATTATCACTCCACACATCGATCCATACACTTTAACCCCTCAAATCCCCAATTTCGGAATCACTTGCCCAATGAAGCTTCTAAAGAAGTTGAAAGGTGGCGGGGGAAGAAGTTTTGGATGATGTTGCGAGCATAAGCAAGACTTTTCGTGTCAATGTTGTCAGCCTCCTCGGATTCTATTTTGAAGGAAGCAGAAGAGCTTTGGTTTATGAGCTCATGCCCAATGGATCACTCAAAAAGTTCATATTCAATGGGAGTAACACAACTACTGAGATTTGCTCCGGTAGCCACTCTTCCTATTTGGGAAGAAGAAGGTGGGAAATTCGATTCCTCACCTTCTCTGTGGGGAGTAATTTCAGATGCGGGTTTCGATTTCCACTCTCTGTTAAGAGGTAGGGCAAAACTCTGAGAGTGAATTGAGAGTTAAAGTAGGTCAAAAGATAGCATCGCGTCGATGCTGGGTGTGCAGTGCACGGGCGGACACATTGCTTCGGAGTTGATCATAAGGAACACTAGAGGGGTTTCTTGCAAATCGTATATCTATAGCTATGACATGATGGTCCTGGAGATGGTCGGCAAGAGGAAAAACATCATAAGTCATGGTAGATCGTACTAGCGAAACGTACTTTCCACGTCGAGTCCACCAATGCCTGGAGCTCCGAGAAGAGTTTGGGCTGCACAAGACCACCAATGAGGAGGACAATGGAACCGCGAAGATGATGATTCTAATCAGCTTCTGGTGCATCATTCGGATCGATGCGAATGATGGCTCGTAGCTTGTCCAAGTGAAAGTTTGTCTCTGCAAAAGAGTAACAACTCTAGTTAGGGTTAACTCAATGTCAATTATATGAAACCAAATCAATTTGTGAAAGAGTATTCATTCGAGCTCAACTCTTGTGAACTCTTGAACCGGATAGGCCTAATCTATTCATCAAATCACAGTCGCAAGATATGTCGGTTTATCTAAAGAGCTCATTATAGATTATTCTAGGGAACTAGTTAATCAACGAATCAACGAATGTTCCAATCCTAAACGAACCGACTTTTTTCGTAATTAAGTGTGCTCAGTGTCATAGGAATTCCTTGTATTCCATGCTTAATCAGTGATCCTAAAGTACTCATCAACGAGGTTTGCTCCGAAAAAAAAAGAATTCTCCCGCGCCAAATTTGAGTGCAAATTTCATTTTTTTTATAAACAAACCTGTCTTTTAAGTCAAAAGGGATTTTTTTTTATGCTCCCACTCTTGTTTATCTTTTTTGGAAGTGCGTTTTAAAGAATCTCATTGTAATGCGGGATTTCCCTGGCACTCGCAAATGCGGCAAAAAACGAAAGCCAATCCCCCGTGAAACCGTGCATGAACCCGCTTAATTAGTGGTGCTTAATGATCCATTTCGAAATATAATAAGACAAACTCCATAGAATCACTAACCACGCTCGAGGTACCCCGAATTACTTTTTTTATTAACTACAGATTAGGCTTTGTTTTATACACAGAGCACTCCCGCTCGAACTCTCAAAGTCAACAGTCTTCTCAGTTTATGTTGGGTTGAATCTGAGTTGGGCTCTTGAACGAGAGCATTGTAGTCCAAAAAACCACATGCGATTTACACAAAATGACTTGGAAACCATTAATTGGAGAGGAGGAATACTTCTAATCCTTCCATCGACGGCGGATAAAGCTGCTCGTGTAAAATTTCACCGGTAGTGTATGATCTACTATTCCTAAGGGTTAATATCACAAATCACCCTAAACTGATACATCAATGATAAATTTACCCCAAATTAATTTTTTGATTATCAAAAGCCCCAATCCAGTATACCTGTAACATATTTATCCTAAACTAATTTTTTTACTACAAAAAATTCAAAATTGATATATTTATGATAAATTATTACGAAAAATCACAAAATGGTACACCTATAATATACGAAGGGTAAAACCCCAAACTGGTATACCCGTCAACTGCCACGCGTCATCCAATTCAGAAATTTAATCTAACTCCAAAATTTGATGGTAAAATTTAACGAAAACTAAAGGAGTGTAAAGTTGTCATATGTGTACAAGATTAGGAATTTTGGTGGTCAAAAAATTAATTTTAAGTAAATTTTTCATAAGTGTTCTGATTTGGAATTTTTCGTCATATTAACCATATTCTTAATATTGTTAACATAAAGTCATATTTTTCCGCACGAGTTTCCAATTCCACCCTCCAACTTCGGCTTCAATTTACAGTCGTGCCCCCAGCCCCTTTCTCTCCCTCTCTCTCATTCAGCTTTGTTTGCAGGGAAACAAAAACCTACTTCTCCCTCCCTCACTCTCACTCCCTCACTTAACCCCTCTCTCTCTCTCTCTCTCTCTCTCTCCTCTCTCTCTCCGTCGCTCCTCCTCCGCAGCGCCACCATGTCGCCGCCTCTTCACCTGAAGAAGCTCCTCCTCCTCCTCCTCCTCCTCCTGCTCCGCTTCTCTTCCCTCCAAGCTCCCTCCGCCGCCGCCGCTGCCAACCCAGACGCCGGGCCTCTCCTGGCCTTTAAGGCCGCCTCCGACGCCGACGACAGGCTCGCCAGCTGGAACTCCTCCGCCGACGCCTGCTCGTGGCTCGGCGTCTCCTGCCTCCACGGCCGCGTCTCCCGCGTCGTCCTCGAGAGCCTCGGCCTCCGCGGCTCCATCCAGCCCCTCACTTCCCTCTCCCAGCTCCGCGTCCTCAGCCTCAAGCACAACCGCTTCTCGGGTCGGGTCCCGGATCTGTCCAACCTCACGTCCCTCAAGCTCCTCTTCCTCTCCCACAACGGCTTCTCCGGCGAGTTCCCGGCCTCCGTGCCGGAGCTCTCGAGGCTCTATCGTCTCGATCTGTCCTTCAACAACTTCTCGGGCGAGGTCCCGGCGGGGCTCAACGGGTTGACCCACCTGCTGACCCTGAGGCTCGAGGGGAACGGGTTCTCTGGCCCCATTTCAGGCCTGGACCTCCCGAACCTCCAGGACTTCAACATCTCCCGCAACAGGCTCGCCGGCGAAGTGCCCAAGTCGCTGTCGGGGTTCCCCGAGTCTGCATTTGCGGAGAACTCGGCCCTGTGCGGGTACCCGCTGAGGAAATGCGGCGCCGCCGCCGGCGACCCGACTCGACCCGGATCCGACGGGGCCATCGCGTCACCACTGAGCCCGAGCGCGAAGCCCAACACCGTGGCCTCATCCCCGACCTCCATGCCCGTGACCGCGACGCCGGCCGCGGCCTCGTCGGGCGCTCGCCGCTCCGGGGCAGCCCACATCAAGCCCGTGGCCATGATCGCCATCATAGTTGGCGACGTCCTAGTGCTCGCGGCAATCTCGCTCCTTCTCTACTGCTACTTCTGGAGGAGCTACGTCGGCGAGAAGAAGAACTCCAAGCTCCTGGAGAGCGAGAAGATCGTGTACTCGTCCAGCCCATACCCGGCCGCGGCCGCCGCCGCAGCGGCAGCGGCTAACAACCCCGCCGGGTACGAGCGGGGGAGGATGGTGTTCTTCGAGGGGGTGAAGCGGTTCGAGCTGGAGGACCTGCTGAGGGCGTCGGCGGAGATGCTGGGGAAGGGGGGGTTCGGGACGGCGTACAAGGCGGTGCTGGACGACGGGAACGTGGTGGCGGTGAAGCGGCTGAAGGACGCGAGCGTGGGGGGGAGGAGGGAGTTCGAGCAGCACATGGAGGTGCTGGGGAGGCTGATCCACCCCAACCTGGTGAGCCTGAGGGCTTATTACTTCGCGAGGGAGGAGAAGCTGCTGGTCTACGACTACATGGCCAATGGGAGCTTGTTTTGGCTCCTTCACGGTACGTGCGTTGCTATCAATCGTTTGTTTCTGTTGCTTTGCTGTCCTTAATGGTGTGACACTTTCATTTGGGTTTTGGCGTAAAGTTGATCGCCAGTCTCTGCTCGAAATTTGCATTTCGTTGCTCTGTTTAGTCCCCTAGAACCTCCTGTACTGACTGTTCCATGGCCGGAACAAAGAACCGTCCTTGATGTTTTCAAAGCTGTGATCTGACCGTTCCCCCATTATCTCCTTGTCAACTCAAAAAACGCTTCATTTCATCGAGACAGTTCACGACCCTTTTGGTGAACAGTAGTAAAAACGCTCCATTAATCGCCACACGGCGCACATTGAGTGAAGCATTCAATGCCGAGCGCCGAGTTTCGTGCCCTTCTTTTTCGAACTCGCAAAGCTTTGAGCATATGGAGCAGCGAGCAGGTAAAAGGACAAAAGGGACAAAGGGGTTTTGATTATATGTCGATCTTTGTTTTCTGGGAGATGGTCTGATGAGTGGTCCACTGATGGTACCACAAGGCATTATTACGGACAAGGGGAACAGTTATAGAAGATGACAGGAACCTGCGCCACTTTAATTGCCATCGGTGAACAGGGAGCCAAACACACTTGTCTTTCTTTAAATACTTGCAGCACCAGGGGGGGGGGGGGGGGGGGGGACCGGCCTCTGCGTCGTCGTTTTCCCGGGGAAGAGGATAGCTTTGTTTTTAGCTGCTCAATGACCCTTTTCCTTTTCTCTGTCGAGTGATGTTTTTGAACATTTCGCAATTTTTTTTTGTCGAACGTTGTTCTCATTTTCCTTCTGCTGCTGTCTCCTTCTTCGCTCTCTTTTCCTTTTTTCTGGTGCGTAATTTATCCTTTGCTGTCTTTCCAGCAGAACGCTTTCCAAAAGTGTGTGCGCTTGTAGGCCCCTCTTCCCCGCGCACTTTCTCGTTATCGCCATCATTACCCCTGACCCGGCCTTTGTTTCTTTAGTCAAATTCGTGCAACACACCATGCATCATCATCATCATCATCATCATCATCTTGACCATCTCTTTAAAAGATCCCCCTCCGTTCTTGATGTTGATCTTCGTGAAGCTCCTCGCGTAATTATTAGACCGAATCTTCCTCGCTTTTGATAAAGCTAAACCTGGGATTAGCATGTCGCACTGTTTCGACGTAAATTCCAACGAAATCCATCGATGCCTTTGTCGTTGCGAATTAACATGATGGGAATCTTACGGTGTTGATTGCGGAATGTTCTTCCAAATGGAATGATTTGATACAGGGAAGTAATCGAAATTTGCTGTGCGGTTGGTTGCTGAATCTTGTAATGGGAGTGCAACAGATGATTTCTCTCAGGAACTGATGGGTCGAGATTGTTCTTGGTGACGCAGGGAACCGAGGAGTGGGCAGAACGCCGCTGGACTGGACCACCCGCCTCAAGCTCGCGGTGGGCGCGGCGCGGGGCCTGGCCTTCATCCACAACTCGTGCAAGTCCCTCAAGCTCGTCCACGGCAACGTCAAGTCCACCAACATCCTCATCGACCATGCCGGGAATGCCCGTGTCTCCGACTACGGCCTCTCCGTCTTCGCCTCCCCCGCCGCCGCTCCCCGACCCAACGGTTACCGCGCGCCCGAGGCGGCCAACAGCCACCGCGGCATCGTGAAGCTCACGCAGAAGTCGGACGTGTACTCGTTCGGGGTCGTCCTCCTGGAGCTGCTGACCGGGAAGTGCCCGTCCGCGCCGGACCCCGGGAGTGGGGCTGAGTACGTTGGCGGGGCCGGTGGCGTCCTGGACCTGCCACGGTGGGTCCAGTCGGTGGTGAGGGAGGAGTGGACGGCGGAGGTGTTCGATCTGGAGCTGATGAGGTACAAGGACATCGAGGAGGAGATGGTGGGGCTGCTCCAGATCGCGATGGCGTGCACCTGCGCCTCCCCCGACCAACGGCCGAGGATGGGCTACGTGGTCCAGATGATCGAGGAGATCCGCGGGGCCGACGAGGAGTCGTCGTCCCCGTGCCACGACAACCTCGAGTCCGTTTCCGATTCCCCGTCGATGTCGGAAGGCACGTGCGGGACGAGCCAGTGATCTCTAGCAGGAAATACTTCATTTGATCTCCGTGAAACTCCACCGTAATTCTTGTAATTAACAAGTCATCATCTGCTATTTCTTCTTCCTTTTTTTTTTTCCACTGTTTTCAATTTGATTTTCTGTTTTTTTGACCAGTCGATATCATCGTGAATGATAGCGGGGAAAGGGGGTGAAGGATTTGATTTGAGCTTTTCTTGAGTTGGGTTCATGATGAGGATTGAGAAATCATTGTGGTTAATGAAGAGGTCTTCATTGCGATCGTCCTTCCTTTTTTTTATTTTTTTTTTCTGACAATTTCGCTGCACCATTTTATCATGAAAAGTAGGTTGAGTATGATCATGAAACAACTTTTTTACTCTTGGTTGCAATTAGCAATTTAGCGTGTTTTCATTTTCGTCGAATGATTTTTCTATTGCAAAAGCAAGGTTTTCCTTTGAGATTTCGATTTCAAGGCATAATCAATTATTTTATTTTTTTTACTTGTTTTCTGCCCCTTATGAAAAAAGGGCCTAATTTCCTAAGAAAGCTCATAAGTTTAGGTCCAATTTCTGTCTCGAATTTTTTTCGTCTAAAGAAAAACCTCAAATTTAGTTTTCATCTAAAGAAAAACCTCAACTTTAGGTTCAGTCTCAAACCCATCCCAATTGTTTTTGTTTAATAAAAAATCACCAACTTCAACTTTAGTTCCAAATTTATCCCCGCTAGCCATTCGTCCAAAAATCGTTGTTAATCATCTCCCATTTCCTTATTTTTCATATTATATAACGGTTTCATTTTGGAGATAATTTTTCCCGTCACCTTACTATTGTGGATTTGTTACCGAGGTGAAAATGACATGCTAAACAAATAATGGTGATTTTTGGACAAAGGGTTTTTGTTTTTTAAGTCCAATTGGATGGAGAGTTAACGGGGGCATATTTGAGACTAGATTAAAAATAGACAATTTTTTTTACAAAAAAAAAAAAGAATTCGGAGTAGATTTGAGATTAGAGTTAAAGTTGGTGATTTTTTATTAAACAAAAAAAAAGTCCGAGACACATTTGGGATTAGACCCAAAGTTGAGATTTTTTTTTATAGACAAGAAAAAGTTCGAAACAGAATTGGAACATGACTTAAAATTGAGGGTTTTTTTCAAGGAATTAGGCCACAAAAAGACTTGAGTTTAAAAACTTGAAGTCTTGAACTAAAAAAGAACGTATTTTTTTTGTCCTTGTAACTACATTACGAAGTCAATGAGCAAGTCATCTGCTGTTGGGCTGGCCTTCAGGAATCTGATTGTGAGGTTATCAAGATTAAAAGTAGGGATGTGACCCACATCCACATGTAAATTAAACTCATTAAACTAGCTTAGAAGGAGCATTTAGCTTAAAAACAAAAAGCCAAAGTCTACGCTCATAACAATTCATAAGTTCACACAAAACGAAATCCAAACCTACTTCGAATTTTAAAAAGTAGGCTACTTCATGTATAAAAGGTAAAAGTAACAAGGAAAACTAACGGGTTCTACAATACAGTTCGTGGCTCAGTTTGGTTTGAAAAAGAGTTGAAGCCACGTTGCGAAAAATGGATTAATTTGATTATGACACTATCTCCCCTTGCGTTATATGTAATCTCTAACGGACATCAAGAATCAAAAGTCAAAACACCTATCGCGAGTGGTGACTAATCTTGGGTTCCATCGAGTTATAACCTAAACTAAGGGGAAGTAATGATCAACGTGGGACAGAAATTCCACCTCCGGATGGTGTGGTCTTGCACGATGGGAGACACCGTGCATCGAAAAAATAGTTATATACATATATTGCTATATATATTTAATACTTTGAAAATTGAAATATCCCAAGATTATACGTACGCATAAGGTAATTTGAAGTATGCATGGCACATCATTTTATCATAAAACTTGATAGTTACATGCGAACATCTTCGTTCTATGCACGATCGACAAGTGTACGAATGTTGTTCAATGTTTCAAGAAGTAAGTGGTAAAAAGAAAAAGTAAAAATTTTGGCAAGGTAAACTAGACTAGATCCTTTACCCTATTTATCATTGCCAGAAATCAAAAGAATATGAACCACTAATGAATGACTCTTTCGCTCCCTTTCTTGATTTTCTTGGGAGATGGTCTACCTATTGAAGTGCATGACCTTGGGTGCAAACCTCAACAGCCGATCCAAAGAGCAGGGCAAGAACTTCCTCGCGAACAAGAAGCACACGCTCGTCGCCTCCCCATTGTACTCGCACCGCGTCCCGTTCCCGTCCCTCAGCCGCTCCAGGAATCCGACCGTGATGTCGTTCCTCCTGAACCGGTTCGGGTGGGGCCCGCCCTTCGACCAGTCGACCCAGGTCAGCGTCCGGTTCGCGTTGCTCGCCCCGAACCTCATGTTCACGAGGGTCGGCAGGTAGTGCTCGTCGGCGTAGCAGGCGTGCTTGCAGTGCCGCTGGAACAGAGGGAAGTAGGTCCGATCGGCCACCACCTCGACGGCAAGCCTCCGGTCCATCTCGAACCACTGCGACCCCTTGCGCCAGTCGTGCACCCTGATGTACGGTAACATCGCGGAGTTGTACCGGCCACGGCCGACGGGGCCCAGCAGGTCGTAGGCCTGGACGAAGGTTCGGGTGGAGTTGATGAGGTAGGAGTAGACGGTGGAGAAGTTGAAGAGCGGGATGCACGTCTCGGAGAGCAGGACGAAGCGCTCGTTCGCGACGTCGAGGAGTGCATTGGCGAGGAGGCGTCGCTCGGCCTCGATCATGTTGACCTTCCCCCACGAGACTTCCTGCATTTTGTGAGGACGATTGGCACATTATACAAAGGCAAAAAAAAAATCGGGCAGGTTTTATTTATGGACGATATGATGGACAAAATTAATCATACTTTAAAAAGTATATATAAACTAATAGTTTTTCTTGATATGTAATCGATATAACCTTTCTGGATTAACCCTAGAGAGTAAAGCTCTCGCCTGTGTAGCTAGCATGTTCATGTCAAGGGACCGATCATGCACTCCACGAATAATGTCTATAGAGCTGTGAAAGGGCTTTAAGCAAGGGAAGCAAAGGATCACATAGATGCAAATGTGACAAGTTCACGAGTCATCGGTGTCTGTGAACAACCTGAAGTACTAAGTTCTAACATTTCTGCGATGCAAATTCAAGAATGGACCGACCGGTAGCTAGTTAAGTTAACGGGTCATGTCATGGGATCACATGCAATAAGATCAAGACGAAATGGTGGAACCACCGGGAGCAAAAAGATATCCCCTTCAATTTAGCCGGAATTGGGGGGGGCAAGTTTGGGCCCGATGTATTCAATTTCCTAAACCAATATCCATGTGGAAAAGAACAAGATCCAACCGAAACAATAATGTTTGGCTACTACAACCAAGATCTAATTCGATATTACCTTTCGTCTTCTTCTATGCGCTTATATCAAACTTATTCTAAACGCAGATGCTCCAAATGAACCCAAATTCTTGTTGGACTAGTCACGACACTCACAAATTGAGTGCGCATGCATTAATTGCGCTAGGCAAAGGGGGTGGTTTCCATGTAAGACCCTTCACCTTCCAAGCGCGCCCAACATTCAAAACTGTTCGTAAAACCGATTAATGCGGATCTCTTAATTGAAGCTCGTCACGTTGCCGTCAATCTCTTAGTCTTCTAGACGGAGGAGGACGCGCATGAGGACCTAATCGAATCATCTTTGTTCCCCGTTCGAGGGTTGGGGCGGCCATGGCGCGGCTAATGAACTCGCTCTCGGTTGAAGAAAATCCGTCGCGTAAATCTTTTGATCAACACTTGCCATCCATGGCCGCCACGACAATAACAACAAACAACTCGCTTTCGTCACATGCTCTAATGAGTCAATCCTCCTTCATTAGTGACCTCGCAACATGTCCAGTGGGCTATAAGTGACTCTAGTGCAAAAACCCTAAACAATTTCGTAACTCGGCATCGCTACGCAATTCTTATTTCCTAGTTCATCTTCGTTTTTTCTGCAAAGCAAATATGCGCGTAACTTGAAGGAACTGATTCACTCGTTCTATCGCCAAACCATATGACCAGACACTAGGAAAAGTTATGTTGCAACCTCATGCAAATCGAACAAACTACTGTCGTTGGACAAAAAAGAAAAGATGTGAAGACGTGCATTTTCTTTGTCAATCTAAATCAGATCCAGAAAGCAAAAGCAGACGAAACAATGGCAGTTTCTTTCGAAATGTTTCCGGTCTAATAGCTCCAAAAAAGTATCGGTCCCATGACAAATGTCAAAGGATATATATTTGGCTAGAATTATTGCAAGAAAAAATTATCATGTGAAGCTGACTAGTGATACTAACCTTACTGGGAATTCTTCTGCTGTGAAACACCGAGGCTTCCGGCTCCGTCTCGTTCCACGGCGGGTTCGAGTGCACGTAAACCGAGTACAGCCCTTCGTGCCCTTTGAAGAACTTCTCCCACAGAGGGGCCAATAGAACAGGACCCTTGGTCAAGAACAGGAACGCGACCTTCGGCGTCCTCTCGAACGGGTACTCGGAAATCCGCGGGCTCACCGACGCCCTCCACAGCAGCTCGTCGTCCTCCATGCCGTGCGCGATCGGCGACGGCTTCAGGTACTCTGCCAGCCCCGCGTGGCGGACCGGCGGGCCCGGTGGAAGGGCCGGCGGAGCCGGTGGAAGGGCCGCCGGCAGTGGCGGCAGCGACTGCAACTGGGTCGGCAACAAGGGGACCTGGGTGAAGTTGAGGTTGAAGGACAGGTTCTTGAGATGGAAGCTGAGGACCATTCCCAGGGTTAAGCCGCACCCGAAGATGATGATGCAGGAGAGGATGTTGGTGAATTGGAGGTGCGAATAGAAGGGCTTGAACATCGAAATCGGCAGACTTTGGTTCTGTTGACTCTTCATTATTTTTTGCCGACACCGAGATATGGAGAGAGAGATAGAGATAGAGAGAAAAGCCTTGCACAGGTTGCAGGTTTTGCTTGAACTGTTCTTTTTAGCCCTTTTTTGAGAATATGGGCTGTTGATGTCGGTGTTGTTGTTGTTGTTCAAGTGGCTTCTGAGCTATCTTGAAGGAACAGTGAGCAATACACAAAAAGAAGAGTTGGGTCACACCAAGATTTTGCTTATTCCGATGAAAAAGTAGGTTTCGTTACTGCAGATTCAAAGATGAACTTTTCTTTCGACGCAAGAGATGCCGCCTCAAGAAAAAAACTGCTCCGAATGTAACCAGAAAGCAAATCAAGAACAAGAATAATATACACAGTTTTGATGCCGGTGGACGAAATGAAAATCAACTGCTAGATATGAAACAGGAAGAATATGAGATCTGTATGGTTCTTGCCCCGACACAAGTACTGAACGAAAAAAGAGGGCCTGGTTCGAAGGACGAATGTTTGCTGTAACGCGTGGGGAACAAATTAATCTCGCAACTAATAAAGCTTTATGACAGATCAGTGTAGACGTATACCACGGCTACGGTTACTACCACGAGGTATAAAATCAGATCGAAGAAATCGGAAATGCGAATCATCACTCAACGCTCAGCCCCAAAGAAAAAACAAGAATTCGCGGAAGAATCAACAAGAACTGATGAAGGAACAAACGGTACAGGATATGTAAAGATCCAAACAAAAGTTCTGAGAGAGGGATGCGAAAATGGTGGCGCGATTGATTCCTATCTTGCAGAGAGAGAGAGAGAGAGAAATGGAGAGAATAGGGACTCATGTCATCGAGGCTCTATTATATGTGCGTGTGAGCGACGGCTGCACAAACCCATCCACATATAGCGACGGCTTTCTAGACCCATGGACTTGGACTTTCAACGTTTCTGACTATATGCTAGTCTCTAATTCCTCTAATTTCTGGCACAGCAAACCCGCTTTAAATGGGCAAATCTAAAATACACAAAACACCCGGCTAATCTCATGAATCAAGTAAGGCACGGACGTAAAAGTCTGGATGAGTAGTTTAAACATGAAATCGTTTGCACTTGGTTATTTTGAAAGTTGAATACGTAACATTCGCTTAACTCACACGCATATACATAAGTCCCGGGGCAACATAGAGCCATCGATATCATGTTGGGTTTCCTTTACACTCGGGACTCTAAACCATGCTTTAGCCGCCTCTAAAAGAAAGAAGGGGGGAAGCGAACCAGAAGCTGCCATGGGGGAGGAAAAAGTCAGACAAAGCTGGTTATCACCACCGGACGTATGTGGGGGATCCCATCAATGTTCAAAATGGACTCGACCCGGGAGAAACGTCGCACGCGGAACAAAGCGAAGGGCCATCAAGGAACGAGTAAACACGTCCAATCCATCGACTCCCGGCACGTTACGTTACCCATTACACGCAAAATATAAGGGGATCGTGTCATTGGAATGTATGTTCCTAAAGATGCCAACGGGACCTTGATATGGGAATTAGGCTTGGAAAATCGACTGGACGAAAGAATGAGATCTTCCCAAGCTAACCCTCCCACCCACACGATAAGTCAGAAGATTACATTATGATTAGAAAATTTCTCGTGTCTAAGATGAAGACAGGCTCCTTTTAAAAATTTTCCAATGAATAAGACCCCTGGAAGAAGACATCGCCCCGAAGAGACAGCTCAACAAATCTAAACTATTCCCTATGAAATTGAACATATGATAATGGAATCGAAGAAGAAGGACTTGGAGATAACACCTCGAACGGGGCACAATTACCGGGCTTGATGAACGTATGTAAGGGTCCAAGTCTCCTTGACACGGCAAGATTAAAAAGGGGGGCTCATCCCATGGTCAAAATTGCACTCTAGTTGGATCCGAACGATCGGTGGATCACGGGAATGGAGATCACCCATGTTTATATTAAGTTGAATTAGCATGTGGATCATTAATGTCCCTTGAGAGCGATGTGCGTGACCCGTCACCCACTAATCAGAAATATGCCTCTAGTAAAGTAGATCACGTATTTTGATACTTAATTTAATGGCGTTCTATGAAAAACCCTTCAACTTCATTCTTAACTAGCATACGACGCATGCTATGCACGAGTTAAATTGAGTAACATTTCTATGTAATATCGTTCGGCACTGAATTTCGTTTAAGCTTTTATTTAAACACGAGTGTTGCAAAGCACGAGACTTGTCCCATAGCAATAGAACAATTAAGTTATTCCAAATAAACAGTAACGTATTTGATACACTAATTATATAACAATCGATCATGTATTATATAGAACCTATATAAATTATCATCTCAAAGTTTTTCAATAATTTTCTTCACACAACTGTGATGAGGGAATGTTTTAATTGAAATATATAAGTTCAATTGTTTTGAGAATATTATTCGCTTTATGGATTTTTCCTATTGTTGTAACGACCATCGATGAATTGTTTGTTTATGTTACTTGCTTATTTTTTATTACATAAATATATTATTTTGGCCCCACCTCGATCGTTGAGTCAATTATTGGAGAAAAGAAACATTTATTGACGTGCTACTTTTTTAATTTTTTTTGGTCAGTTACGTGCTACTTATTCCTCACTGATGTAATGTCCAAGAAGCTGCATCTATTTCTTTCCCCCCTTGACGTTTCAAAACTTTATACGCAAGTTGGTTACGGGAAAAGTGTCGAAAAAGTCCTAAATTTTTTGTATTGATGCTAATTTAGTCATAATTTTTTTTGATGCCAATTGAATCCTAAACCTTTTATTTTTGTGCTAATTCGATCCTTCCAGCTAATTTTGGCCGGATTTTGCCAATGTGGACGCTGGCCACCGGCGCTGAATTAGACAACTTTTAATAATATTTTAATATTTTTTTAAAAAAAATTAATTTTTTTCTTTTTTTCTTTTATTTTTCTTTTTGTTTTCCTTCCCTCCCTCTTCCTCCAGCCGGTCGCAGGACCGGCGACCAACCAGAGGCCAGAGGCCGGCGAGGTCGACCTCGCCAGCCTCTAGCGAGCCACACTGGCTACGGGCGAGGCTCGCCCTCTCCGACAACGACGAAGGCGAGCCTCGCCGGTGGCCGGCAAGGTCGACCTCGCCGCCCTTTGGCCTCTGGCTGGTCGCCGGTCCGGCGACCGGCTGGAGGAAGAGGGAGGGAAGGAAAACAAAAAGAAAAAGAAAATAAATAAATAAATAAATAAATATTTAAAATTATATTAAAAGTTGTCCACATCAGCAAAATCCGACTAAAATTAGCCGGAAGGACTGAATTGACACAAAAATAAAAGGTTTAGGACTCAATTGGCATCAAAAAAAGGTTTAGGACTAAATTTGCGCCAACGTAAAAGGTTTATGACTTTTTCAACACTTTTCCAAGTTGGTTCTTCTTATTGAAATTTCGTTGGTCATTTTAATTGTCTCTCTCTCTCTCTCATGACCTTAGTCCCGATGTGATACACGTCATTTGTCAAGGATAACGTGTGAATGAGGCATCTAGAGTGGGCGTGTCATCCTCCATTTAATCTCGCATTCCTTTCTTTGTCAACTTAAATTATTTTCGTACGCGTAAAATTCTTTTGGTTTGTCGGTGGCCAAATTTGTCCGAATGCTTCCTCCTCCGCATTAAGTCAAATCTTTGCTTACTACTAGAAAATTCCATATTTCATTGCCGATCTTTTCTTTTTCGGTATTGATCGGCTCAGTCACTTACAATTGCTGATTTAAGATGAATACGGTCATTCTTTAATTCTGAACATTAGACTTAGTTTAGCATATTTAGGTTATCTAAGAAATTAATGAGCCAAACCTCGTTTCGTGGTAGAGTTTAGTTTCTTAGCCTCGTTTGTTCATAATCTGTTAAAAGCTTTGAATTTTTGTTAGTTCTATGTAGTTTATTAAACATGGTTCTAATGTTTTGGAACTATGTGCCGCACCCTTTTGTCTCAGAAGTGAGACACGTGTCACCAACGGAGGGGACCACGTGTCAAGTCCTCGTTACACAATACGTATATTCAATTAGATTTCTTTTTCCATGTTGGACATGCTACTCAAATACGTACGTTCCAAACTAACACCCACGTCCGACCAAAGAATAAAAAAAGAAAATACACCAACGTATTCTCAATCAAAATTTCCAAAGTTTCGGTATTCAAATCGGTAAGCTTTTTCGCGATCAATATTAATCGGAGAAATCACCCGATTAATCCTAAACTTATTGTGCGGATGCCAGTTCAATCTTAAACTTTTCAATTTTATCAATTTACTCCTAAATCTTTGCGCGAAATTTCAATGTGATCATTCCAGTCAATTTTCACCAAAAATTACCAACGTGACGGTGTGCCAAGTAAAACAGCAGACTATGAATAAACCGCCATGTCAGCAATTTCCGATGAAAATTGACCTGAATGACTTGGAAATTTCGCGAAAAGCTTTAGAACTAAATTGATGAAATTGAAAATTTTAGGACTGAATTGGCATCCATATAATAATTTAGGACTAATCGGATAATTTTCTTGATTTCAATTACCTCATTATGTACGGTCGAAGTATATATATACATTTCTATGTATGTTTGACAAAATCAAACTTATTAGTCATAGTTTAGTTTAGTCCAAAGGTCAGAAGTGGCATGAAAGGTATCGAACGCGAATGAGAATTGACGTTTGCATGCATGCATCCAGCTTTTTCCTTTTTTGACCAAGGGAAATAGCCTCCCCCCCACTCGCAAAGGACAGAATTGAGGTCCAAGTCGATGGCTCCGACGTTCGGGTGACGTCAAGCAAACGGTTTAGGTCGTCACGGTGAAATCCCAGTCTGAGAGATTGATTTGATCGAGGAGTAAAGCGACTTAGACTTGTCTCATTAGGGAGGGTAAAGCTCGGTCTAATTACCGCGTAACTTTTCCGGATCGAGCCCGAATGTTAGTCATGCATGGATGACTTGCACTTCGTTAAGGTACAAAAACTTACCAAAGATTATCAATTGATCACTATTAAGAAAGAATTACATTGAAGTCAAGATAAAATTTACGTATCACCTGTGATCATTCTATTGTCTTGTTTGGTTATGCCAAGATAGTTAAACTTACAACATAAAGAACTAGCGAATCCACCTCAGCGTTGCGGTAAAACTCAAGTTCTTGTGTGCCATCTGTATTATAAATGATTTTGTCCATCTTATCGTTTTAGAATATTAATATGGTAATTGATGGAAAGGAAAACAACAGGAAGGGGCTAGGAGTTCTGTCTTATTAATCTAATAATCTCCATGCCAAAGACTGGCTTATGAAATTTAATTTATAAATTAATGTGACTGACTTTAGTTGAATGCTTGAATGTGACCCACTTAGTTTGTTGCGAAATAGACAGAACAAAGAAATAGATCGAATACCAAATTTTCGTCGTTCGGTTGGGACGACCTATGTTCACAGAGAGAGTAGTAAAGAATCCCACTGTGAATCGAAGCTTTACAACGGTAATACAACCACGCTCGAGTCACTCAAACACTTTCAGTGTTTCTCGGCCCGCAATTACACCTATTAACTCACACAATATTTAGTCCTCACAATTCTTCACGAAATAATCTCTCAATCTCATAAAGAAATTACACAAAATCTTAACAAGATTTTCACAGCTTCAAACACTTAGGATATAATTCACGAGCACAAGCTCATGTTGGATACTCTTAACAAGAAGTCACACTTCTTCTATCTAGACGAG